AAACCCCTAGACTATCTGGATTAAGTAGGTACTCCTAATTGATACCTATCATTGATATTGTTTGTGGTTAAAATACCAGCTTTACTGCCTAGTTAATGACATCACCATCATCTGCTTTCCCAAATCAGAAACCTCCCTGTTATTCTCAATAGCTTCTTCTCTCTCACTCACCCCATGTAACCATGCCAGTCCTCTTTCAGCCATGTCCATTGCACCTGGCTCTTTTCTCCAACACAATTTATACTTCTCACAACTGAACAAGTACAACAGCTTCTAAATATCACTCCTGGTAACATGTTATAACCCTTCAATCAATTCTCACTACCCTGAGATCTATATTCTAAGAAACAAAAAATCTGTGTCAAAAGTTTCTTCATTAATTTCACTCAAATAAATATATACCAAGTGTGCACCATGAGCCAGACACAGCTGGCCGTACTCACAGTCCCACACCCTGCCCTAAACTTGTTTTTCCAGGCTTATAACTAGTGGGTTGCTGGTAAATTTTTAACATCTGGTCCTTGGAGCAGAAGAGAAGGTGCTAGTGATTTGTACCATTTGCCAGTGTCCATGGTGAGTATAAATACTCTCACTGTGGCTGATTTGAAGCTGACAATGTGGCATCAACCAACTTGCAAAATTCCCCAAAATATAACACTTCACTCTCGTGATCCAGAATGAGATGGCTCTAGAACAACACTCCTCCTAACCCAGCCTGAATCCCTCTTACCATGAGCTTTATTCAGGTTCCCTGGCCTCCAAACCACTACCAGGCCAGTCAGGCTCTTCCATGACTCTGCACTTATCAGGGGTTGATTACCCAATAATCAAGGTAAAGCCAAACCCAAACCCATAGCCATCAAGTCTGTTCTGACTGGGTGACCCTGTAGGAGGGAGTAGGACTGCCCCCATAGGGTTGCAAATCTTTATGGAAACCGATTGTCACATTTTTCTCCTGTGGAGCATCTGGTGAGTTCACACTGCTGACCTGTTGGTTTGCATCCAAATGCTTTAACCACTGCACCACCAGAGCTCTTTATAATCAAGGTAAGCATGGACTTACTAGTGCTTCCTTACTAGTCTGTAGTGAACAGTTTCATATGTGTTCATGTGAAATAGTTCACTACAGATTAGTGAGTAAACACGAATAACCCCTGGCCTTACCCTGCTTAGGAGCTCTGGTAGCATAGTGCCTAAGGCACTTGACTGCTAACCAGGAGGCTGGTGGTTCAAACCCACCAGCCACTCCTCGGAAGGAAGGTTGGGCAATCCTACTTCCGTAGTGATAACTGCCTCGGAAACCCAAGGAGGGGTCGCTATGAGTCGGGGCCGACTCGATGGCAAATAACAACAACAACTTACCCTGCTTACTGGGTACTCTGTAAATTATGTATTTGAATAGAGGTTTTGGTTCTGTAGGCAGGTGCTATAGGTTTGGGAGAGACACAGATGCCAGCCATACATGGAAGCAGAATCTTTGATGTAGTGAAAAATGTGCAGTTGTTCCTACAGGTTAGTAAGTAAGCACAAGTAAGTGAATGCTTACTTTGCTGGATGGGTAATCTAAACACTGGGCCTTGCACACATGCTCATATCTTTACCCATAATGATGTACCTGCCAAGTGCATCTCTACACACCTTTCTGCTATGGTTCTTCAAAAGTCAACAAAAACATCACCTTGGATGGCTTGCCCAACTCTCCAAAAGAGGGTCAGTTACCCACTCCTGCCACGTTTTGTTTCACAATGACTTCCATTTTGTGCTATTGTAGTTATCTCTACGTATGCATTGTTTCTGTATCTGTGAAGTTGTAGTACCCAGCCTAGTACTCAGCAGCCAGTTCAATGAGTAGCTGATGAATGAATGATTTGAAAGATTAAATCCTAACTAAGAAAACTGACTTTCTCATCAAGTCTCCACAATCAATTTTCAGTCAGGTTCAACCTTTTAACGTGATATGCTTTGGCTAAAGTATAAAATGAGATAAAGTGATAAAAATGTAAATTATGAAATGCTAGTGAGTACATCAGAAAGCATAGATATGTATAGATATGTATCGCAACTGTCAAGATGTTTAATAATGGAGAACAATATTCCTTTTGCACTTAATCTTTGTGCAATTTGATTGATTGATTGGATCTTTTTTATTCCAGTTTTGAGCACAGTATTCTGAGTCTTTCTGCTGTGTAACCCAGCATTATGATAAAGATTAGCTGTGAGTGGATACCTTCTCTAAAACCTGTATTTCTCCTGGGGCACCTAATTCCAAACATTTTCCTACTTTTGTGAAAGATACCCAGAGCTGGATTTACCAATAAGGTAAAGGTCATCCCTGAAGATCAGTGACTCTGAAAAACCAGGCTAGGAAGCAAAACTGAACTGAGACTCCTTGCTCCGCCTCCCCACCTCCTTATTACACAGACTCACTTAATGAAGTGTATCCCAGAGGAAAGATAAGGGGCACATGATTACCTTGTCTACAGCTGTAAGTACTTTGGATCTGTGTGCACATCAGAGAAGGCACAGCTGCCAAATGCACAAGGCTTCTGGGGGAAAACGGTCAACGGCAGAAATTCACCACTTAGCACTTTGCAACTCTCATCCGATTCCACAGTCACACAGTTGAGCTTATATCATTTATAAATAATTAATGGCAAAGGGAATCTGTTGTATTCCACTTTGGTAAACTGGTATGCTCTCAGACACAGTGTCACAATGAAAAAGAAAATCAGTTGTTTTCAACTATTTTAGTATATTTGTGTTTTATTTGAAACTTTCGAACATCCCTGAGGTTTGTAATCGTGGCTTCGTTTTTCCATAAACATATACTTTCATCAGTGCTGTTGGTTTGCTTACCTTTATAGTTACTCAGCTGTTTTAATTAATTGTCCAAGGTTTCCCTAAAACAGAGACCCAGTTCTTCTGTATGACTGTACCATATCATATGCTGTTATTTCTGTTCCACTAGATTTTTTTTTTGCCACAAGTTGTTTAAAAACTATAATCTCTTTGAGGGTGAAAACAATGAAGTGCAGTTGAAAAGACAGCTATGTGAAAGATAAACAGCAATATTACTTATCAAAATGGGTACAATTTTTACCCGCTTAATGAGTACAACATACAGCCTTGCAATATATACACAATGAGAAAAAAGGCTTCCAACATATCAAATATGCCACATTATTGCAGGCATGATTGTATAGGATACATATCTAGGCTAAGAGGGTAGATAACAAAATATAAGTGCTTTGCCTGTCTAAACATGTTAAATAAATGAGCATTTGCTATCGTGTTCCAATACATTAGAAGATGTACTTGCATAGTTAATTTTCTCTTTAATGCACCACACGTGATCATTTGAAGTGCAGCACTAGAGCGTATCTTAGTATTTGAAGAAAGGTTCTTTTCATTTAAACAAATCTTTATTTAAATAAGCCTGTTTGAAAAGAATCTTTGGTATATCTTCTTTTCAGGAAGTTCAACCAGGGTGAATGGAGATAAAGAAGGTACGTTTTATAAAATATAAGTACAGATCACTCAGACACCCCCCCCCAAAAAAAAAAAGTGATAGATATAAGGAGAATAAACCTACCTAGAAATTAATTTTAACTTTCTGGGTGGTAGGTGCTTTTGTTTACTTCTTTTATAGATTTGGGGATCTGGCATTGATGAAATAAAAATATTTTAGGAAGAAAGAAAGTAAATAGAGAGACAAAGTAAGAGAAGAAAAAACGTCTTTCACAAAGCTCTGAAAGAGTAACTGCAAAGACTCATCTGAAATAAGTCGGTGGTGGGGTCCCCACAGTGGGTCCCTACAGTCCTGGACGTTATACAGTGTAATAGAATGGTTAATGAGCCAGGCGAGCCTTGAAGGCAAAAACTCTTCACACATTATGTCTACATAGGTAGTCCCTGACTTCGTGATAATCTGTTCCTATCACTCTGTCCTAAGTCAGTTCTGACGTTAAGTTGAATACTAATTCTTTTTTGTAGTTGTTGTTTGTTTCCTTTGTTACTGCCTTTTATTATTTATTATCAGTGTCTTTATAAATCCAATCAGTGGCATGATATCTTTTGCTAGACCTATTGTTAGGGGGCAGTGCAAGCGTTAAGGGTAGAGAAACTTGAACAACTTAGCTTTGAATTAACAAGTGATGCTTCTTACGGTATGAAACATGGAATAAGATCGTGCTATAGGCCTGGTCTATGATGAAGTCGGTGTCAATGTCAAACAGCGATGTCAGAGTTGTAATGGCTGCTGAGCACATGTGCAGTTTATTGTCGTATGTCACTAGAGTTGAACACCCCAACTTTCTATCCCTTAATTTTCCAACACCAACACTGACTTCATTGCAGACCAGACCAAAGTCTGCTATACAATAAATCATAAAATTGAATGTCTGCAAGTGACCATCTGAGAATGATAACAGCAGGTTGCTTGCTGCAGCACTGTATGTAGTACCTACTACTAATGATATAGTGTACCAAAAAAAATGGGTATTTGTAAGTGCAGTTTGTTGTAACTTGAATATGCCTTAAGTCGGGGACTACCTGTATATAAATTCTTAGTCTTCTCCTAATGAGCCCTGGTGGCACAATGGTTAAGCGCTCAGCTGCTGAGCCAAAGGTTGACATTCTAACTCACCCAGTGGCTTCAGGAGAGAAAGACTTGACAGTCTGCTCTGTAAAGATTACAGACTGGAGAACCCTGTTGTGCCATTCCACTCTGTCACCTAGAGTCTCTGGGAGTTAACCTCAATTCATCGACACCTAACAATAGTAACAGTCCTCTCCTGCTATTGGTCACTGAACAGCTCAACTAATGCAAGGATTACAGTTTTCCACAGAGGAGAGGAGTGTAGCTGCTATCTTGATCAAACACCCTGCCCCAGTAGAAACTGATGAGAAAAACGTGAGAAGCCACTGTTGACATCAGTCCAGAGCATGGCAGGCTCAAGCATTCTCTGTCAATTCCTTCTCACTCTTTTTTCTTCTTCCAGGGGGTCAGCTTTGGTGCACAACTACGAAGGCCATCTCAGAGGGGGAAGAGCTAATTGCCTTTGTGGTGGATTTTGACTCAAGGCTACAAGCTGCCAGTCAGATGACTCTTACAGAAGGGATGTACCCTGCACGCCTGCTTGACTCAATTCAGCTGCTTCCCCAGCAAGCTGCCATGGCGTCTATTTTGCCTACAGCTATTGTCAATAGTAAGTGCTGACAACTGTAGCCCAGCTTTGTAGAGATGATGGGTATTTATGGGAGAGAGAAAAAGTATCTACTGACAGGCAACTGAGGCGGACATTTTTCTCCAGTGTTGTGGTTTTATTTCATTCTTTCTCTAACTTCATTTTTTTTCAAGTT